ACTGGGTTATAACTGGTCTATAACAGGTTTATTACTGTCTCAAACTGGGTTATAACTGGTCTATAACAGGTTTATTACTGTCTCTAACTGGGTTACAACTGGTTTATAAAAGGTTTATTACCGTCTCTAACTGGGTTATAACTGGTCTATAACAGGTCAATAACTGGGTTATAACTGGTCTATAACAGGTTTATTACCGTCTCTAACTGGGTTATAACTGGTCTATAACAGGTTTATTACCGTCTCTAACTGGGTTATAACTGGTCTATAACAGGTCAATAACTGGGTTATAACTGGTCTATAACAGGTCAATAACTGGGTTATGATGACTCCTAACTGCTGGGAGGAAAAACTCCTTCAGTTTAAACTCTGACGTTGAGCTGAGGAGGATCTGAGTTTTGAAACATTCAAACCAGTTTCAACAGGTTTGATTCTGCACCGAGGCGACCTCAGGATTATAATCTTAATCTGTAATGAGTGCAGATTATCTGCAGAGCTGTGAGTGTTTCTGTGGTTTCCTGTTTGTTCTGTCTCTGTGAGGACCGCCTGCTGCTGAGCCTTCAGATGAAGCAGCTTCCTCCACAACAAAGAATCCAGCTGGTTGAAGACCAACAAGTCCAAACTGATGGACCCAGAACCCTACACCCCCTGATCCCCTGGACTGTGGACCCTGAAGTCCTGACGTCCCAGTTCCACCTGCCTCCATCTGAACCCAGTAACAGGGTCATGGTTCAGGTCAAACTGCAACATGTTGTTCTGTTTGGATCAGAACCAACTGGGAGGTCTAGGACTCCATCTGTGCCCCAAAACCAGGTTTCTACAGGTCCTCACCTGCAGCTGCAGGTTGTCTTCAGTTAGTCCTCAGAAACACTTTGAGTTCCAGGTGGAACAAATATTTAAACATCTGACAGCAGAAGGTCCAGCTCTGTGCGAAAGTTTTAAACCACCTCTGCCATCAAAGTTTCCCTCCAAGCAGCCCGGCTCGGTTCTGGACCAACGGTTCTCCAGACCTTCTGAAGCTCTGAACCTTTTCAGAAGACTGTGTTAAGGTTGACCTCTGACCTCACTCAGACACTAAAAGGCTCCTGAACCTGCAGGACGGACCAGAGTCCACATGTAGCAGGAGACTTTAGTCTCTTCCTGGTTCTGTGTGACGTTCTGACACGTCTTGGGTCAGAGCGATGTTTGTTAGAATCCTGTCAGTGAAGAAGTTCTGACCCAGAAGTTCTGACCCAGATGTTCTGACCCAGATGTTCTGACCCAGAAGTTCTGACCCAGATGTTCTGACCCAGATGTTCTGACCCAGATGTTCTGACCCAGTAACACTCTGGTTTTATCTCCGTCACATTTTCCAGCAGGTGACTGATGGATGTGAAACCTACAGGAAGTTCTTCTGCAGCTTCCTGTCAGAAACTGTCACCATCACACGTGAGACCATGATTCATGTAGATCTGAACATGTGTGTGTGTGTGTGTGTGTGTGTGTGTGTGTGTGTGTGTGTGTGTGTGTGTGTGTTACCTACATAGACTACCTTGTGAGGACCCCTGCTCCTCATGTTACAGCAGTATAATGTCCAGACTGAGTCATGTTACTTCAGAGAATAAAGTCTTACTTCCTGTCAGGAGGAACCATCTTGCTGGACTTTATTTATCAGAGTGTTCTCCTCAGGGTCTGTGACAGCAGGGTCCAACACGTCGAGGCGTATGAGGTGTAGCAGGAGCAGTTGAGTCCTCTGTAGCACCTCTAACCTGTGGAGTACCTCAGGGCTCTATACTTGGCCCTCTTCTCTTTCCCCTTCCTTTAGTCTGAAGAGGATCTCTGGAAACGATCTGTCTTGTTCCACTTTAATGCTGATGAACCCAAACTAATGTCCCACTGAAACAGGAAATGGACCTTCTGTGAACGACTCCTGGAATGTTCTGCAGCAGTCAGAGCACAGATGTTGTTAAACTTTTTTACATTTTAATGAGCAGAAGACAGAGGTCATGTTGTTTAAGGCCAGTGATGGTTCATATCCACGCTGACCTGGATCCTTTATCCCAACATCTGACCCAGACTAACTGACCTGGGTGTTGGACTGGACGATGACTTTAAACTTCAGATGAAATCAAAGATCAAGTCCAGCATTTATTACAACTTGCTTAGCCTCCTGCAGTGCACCATGTTGTTACTGACTGGACTTCAGCTGGTTCAGAACCCTGCTGCTCACCTTCACCTGGTACCAGGAAACACCACACCTGTTTTCCAGTCACCACACTGGTTCCATGTTTATGTTTGGTTTTACATGTCGTCATGTGTCAGCCTGAAGCACCAGTCTGTCCTGCTCCAAGCCTACGCTCAGGTCAGCATCACTTCCTGTTGGTGCTCCTACATCACAGAGGAGGCTGAACTGGGTCAGACAGACCCACTCACTTCCTGATTTCAAATCAGTTTTCTCTAAGGGGGGTCAGTTTTCTCTAAGGGGGACAGTTTTCTCTAAGGGGGACAGTTTTCTCTAAGGGGGACAGTTTTCTCTAAGGGGGACAGTTTTCTCTTAGGGGGTCAGATTTCTCT